CGCAATAATGTAATGTGTGTAGACAGTGTGTAATTGATCTGCAGTCAGAGAGAGACGTATTGTTGTTTTAGCGCGACTGTTGAAAATAAGTGTATCGTAAAGTTGTATTCGGAAAGAATAAACCAGTGTTATTAGTAAAGAACTTGTGTCGCTAAAGTTTCGTCGGAACGAAGTAACGGAAAGTAAATTAACAAACGGAGACGTAACAGTTACATAGAAACAGATGTATATTGTTACTAGTTTTAAGCTATTTAGGATAGACAAGTCTAGTTTCCTGTTACAAACTGAAATCATTCTAGAAAGAAATAAAGGATATTTATATTTATTTCATATTTTTTTATAATAGTTATAAGGTTTGGTAAATTGACCAACCCTGTATAGAGTTAGGGTAGAAAAAAATAACAGATAAAATATAGTTTTACTGAAAATAAAACGTTTGGAATTTATTTAGGAGGTTTAAGAGATTATGCAAATGAAATTTTACAATATTCAGATGAAGAAAAGTTTTTTTTTACCTCAACATGAAAATCACTTTGCACTTGGAGCAGTCAACACTTTGACTCCATATATTAACAGAGAAATGTTTAGTAAAAATACTTCATTAAAAATTCTTAATTTTTCTGTCTACAAAAGAATTATAATGTTTACTAAAAGCTTGCAAAATTTTGCATTAAGTTACACAAACTATATTAAAAGTTATAGTATGGAAACCATAGGTCAGTTTGGAGTAACAAATTTGATCGAATTGACCGAGCCCATAGAGAGTGAGTTAAATGTGTCCATCAGAAATGTGAATGAATAATTGATTTGAAATGTATTAGAAAATGGGAAGTGCTTCTCTGGTGGGTTTAACAAATTTATTGATATCTAAGCAAATCAAGAATGTAAGATGTTCAAATTTTACATTCTTCAGTTTCAGTATGTTGGTTAGGTACTATAGAAGCTGTGTTGTTGAAGTTATAAAATCTAAATGGGAGATCAAAGGACAGAAGACTGAGAATTCTTTGAGCATTTCTTTTTGAAACTACGGAATTAATATTTCAATTACAAACTAAATTCTGATACCAAGTTTATTGACATGCATTGATAATAAAATTATTTGAATCTTGAATGTAACTTTGTAAAAAAAAAAAAGTTGTGACATGCACACTCCAAGGTCAGTCAAATTTACAGAGCTGATATGCATACAGTTAATTCCTATTAAATTCTTAAACTGTGTTTCAAGTAAGGAAAAGGTTTTGAGACAGCTTGACTGGAAAATAGTTTTTTCAAGCTGTCTCAACTTTTATTTTCTAAAAAGTGGGTTCCTTTTTATCAAATATTTTGTTTTAATTAAATAACAAGGTCAGCACCTGTAGAAGAAAATATTAAATCATTTTTTTTTCTGTATTAAACATTTTTATAATGGTGTAATTGGTTTTCTTGAAACTATTTGTTAAATGTGAAACTTTTGAAAGTTTGAATGCTGTTGTTTTTGCACGTTGATAATGTATTGATGTCCTGTTTATAGTTTTCCTAGGTTATTTATTAACAAGTAATGTTATCCTACAATAGTAAAGATAACTTCTTACCAAGCAAATTTGGGTTGCAGAGTACTTGTATTCGTTTTCTGTGGAGATTATTTAAATATCATTGCATTGACTTGTTAGTGAAAATATTTGTTTTTCAGAGTGTTCCTGGAGTTATAGAATGCCTCAAAATTGTCACCAAAGAAAAGTCGCAAAGAATTGCCAAGTTTGCATTTGACTATGCTACTCGGCATGGTAGGAAAAAGGTCACAGCTGTTCACAAGGCCAATATCATGAAGCTGGGTGATGGACTTTTTCTCCAGTGCTGTGAAGAAGTCTCTCATCTGTACCCTCAAATTGAATTTGAGTCTATGATCATTGACAACTGTTGCATGCAGCTTGTTGCTCATCCTCATCGTTTTGATGTTATGGTGATGCCTAATTTGTATGGGAATATAATTGACAACTTAGCTGCTGGACTAGTAGGTGGAGCTGGCATTGTACCTGGGGCTAACTACAGTGCTGATTGTGTGATTTATGAACAGGCATGTGAAAAATATTTTATCTTTCTACTATAAATCGTACTTTGTACATTGCTATAGAATTTATTATGCTACATAAGGCAAATGATGAATCAGTTTGTCATGTGGTATATTTCTATTTAATAGTCTTAATATAATATGCAAATACAAAACTACAAAAGTCAACCAGCTATGTAAAAGTACCAGTGATTTGTTTTGTGTTATATTTATATTTCTTCACAAACATTATTTATTTATTTATTCTTATTTAAATTGATACATAATTATGTTAATGGAGAAAAGGGCATATATTTAAAGAAGAATCTTCATATATGCAGTAATAGTTGTTACTGGAAGTTGGAATTTCACAAACTGTTTGAAATCTAGTCTATTTTGGCTATCGCAGAAACTAGTTGTCAGCCAAATGCAGGGAAATAACAGTTTGTGTTGATATGTCATGTTGATTTGCATCAAAATTATTTGGAGTAGCATTCTTAGAAACATCATTCATTCACATTTTCTGTTTCATTCTGCTTGTGCAGATTATATATTTCATCTAAAGAAGACTTCAATATTAAGGATTGCTTGACTGCCTTAGGAAATTATATGCTAAATGTCAAAATTTTAAAAGTTTGAATGCTGTTATTTTTTCAATTGATAATGTATTGTTTTCTGTGGATTATTTACTTACAAGTAACATTATACTACATCATTAAAAATAACTTCCTACTATAGAAGTTGCATTATTGAAGTTATAAAATCTGAAGGGAAGAATTCAGAGTGCAAACATGTCATGTGACACAGAAGAGTGAAGATTTTGAAATTAAAAGTTAGTTAATATTGAAATTTTAATTATAAACTGTTTTGATACATAGTAAAAGCATTTATTGTGTCTTAACACCTTAAAGTAAGAACAAATTAAAAAAGAAAAGATGTATATCCAGGAAACACTAGTAATAAATGCACCAAAACTCAATGGACCCACACACAAACATCATCTGGACAATGTGATTAAGTGAAGAGATTGATGCTTTTACATATGTTGTAATGTAATGAAATGAGATTATTTTACAATTTACATTCTTGTGTTAGAGTTATTTACTTAAGTATAAAGATTTTGTGAAAATGTTTGGGTATTTTTGAAATACTGAATAGTTGTGGCTGTTGCTTCGTGAATCAGCCAAACATATTAGTGGATCAGTTAGAGGTTAAAAATAATTAATTAATTGTGCTCAGACTTTTTTTTTCCTCAGATTTTGATAAAAGTGCATCATAATTAATCTACAGTCTTGACATGTTGTTTTAGAATTCCATTAATTCTGCTTTTCACTCAGTGCAGAACTCATGACAGTTTCTAATCTTCGAGCAGTTGGACAGAAACTGGTTTTTCTTGTGTGTGTGTGCATGTCTATTTAAGCATATGACAATATAAAGGTTTCTGTCATACTTGCACTTTTATACGTCTTTGAGTAGATGTATGATGAATTAAACTGCATCCTAGTGTCTTACTTCATTAACATAACAATGACTGTTGTAGATGTTAAGGAGTTCATGTACAATATGTTTTATAAAGACTATTGAAAATACTGAACTGTATTAAATTTATCTTCACTAGACTTTCAAGCTACAGTTTCATGAACATGTTTGTAGTAAACTTAGTTTTTTGCTAACAAGAGGTCTAGAAATTGGATAACTGAAAGAAAAATCAAAGATTTTTAATCATAAGAAATGTTTTTTTAAGATAAGAGTAAAAGCATATTAATTGTTAAATAACTTATCACTGAAAATTGTAATAGTTTCATTCAATGTTGATAAATGTCACTTTCAGGGTGCACGACACACTTTTGGAGAAGCAGTGGGAAAAAATATAGCTAATCCAACTGCAATGCTTCTGTGTTGTGTAAATATGCTGCGACATTTGAATCTTCACTATTATGCCTCTGTAATAGCTGATGCTACAGAGAAGGTCATTAGAAGTGGAAAGGTGAGTATTTGTACACTTATCTGGGGCTGTGTTTGGTTTAAGATTAAATTTAAAAATCTTATGAAGTTGTCTGTGTTAGTTGTTCTGTAGTTTTTTTATTGAAAATTGAAACTGTTTAACCTTTTCGTGATGGGCTCGATGTAATATACATGAGTTAAGTATTTATACAATAACTTTTAATACTGTATCTTCACAAAAGTTGGTAGACTTTAGTAAAGATTACAAGTATTTCTTACACAAAAAATCTGATTTTTTTAATGAAGTATTTTTATTATAGATTTGTTTCTGAAACTATCGAGTCTGTTTCATTACCAGTCCAAGTGTGAAGTGATTTTCATGTTATAATTTAAAAACTATTGTTCATCCCCAAAATCTCAAGTATAATTTGTGTAATTTTTAAAATCTCCTAAGTACATTTCAAACGTTTGTTTTTAATAAAACTTTTTCTGTTATTTTCTCCACCCTAACTCTATCGGGTCTGTCAATTTGACCAGACTTGTAACCACCTTAAAAAATTAAGAAATAAATTTAAATTATGCATTTTGCGTTTAGAATGGCTACAGATTATAACACAAAAACACAAATGTTTAGTCTAAATAGCTTAAATCTCATAACATTATACATTTATATATATATTTATTATATTGACCTTCCAGCCATGCCTAGCTAACAATACAGAAGTTACAATGACACGGTGCATGTGCACTCATGATACCATATCCAATAATATAAAACTGATCTTTAGTCTTTACAAGTGACCTGTCTTGGCTGTGTTTTAGTGGACTAATATTTTGTAAAATACAGTCACATTTCATTTATTATACATTATATATGTATATACATTAATACTATTTACAAATAAGTTCTTAAACTTATTTTTCTTAAAACATAGAATAGTAAATAATGAAGTAAAGCAAACAATTATCTCTTTTAGTTACGACCTTTGTTACTCGTTTGCTGCTTGTCACTAGGTTAGTTATGTCTTATAGTAATTACCTACTAGTGAAGGAGTAGTGTAAAGTAAAGTTTAATTTTTAGGTTTTATATATATATATATATATATATATATACATTTTAAATAACCAAAAGAAATCATAAATTACTGTATTGATACCATAGAATTCCACTATAATGTATCAAGCTTAGTAACTAAGTTGTACTTGGGTTTAAAAAAACAGGATATTTTGAGCTCACTAAAGACTTACCTTATCGTTTGAAATCTTGTGTGAAAAGAAAGAGATAAACACAATAACACATCAAAATGGCTGAGAAAACCACTAGGGGACATTCTGAGCTTTCGATTTGGTTTTTGATGTCATGTATAGAAGTAAGTGTATATAAGGGAGCATTTCCAAAAATGAAAAGAGGTGTGTTTGTGTGCTTGATTCAGTACATGAGCAATATCTTAGCAAATAGTAAAGATAAGAGGTTCTTATTTTACATTCTAGTACTGGTAGTTAGAGTACCTAATTCGTATGAAACTATATACTTTGTATTTTGACATCACAAACATCTAATTTGAACCAGTGCTGCATTCAACATACTACATGACATACAAAATCGATGTTTAGTTGTGTTTTTTTAATATTTACTTTTAAATAAAGAAATTAACTAATGTATAGTACTAAAATTTGATACCAAACTTGTTGACATAAATTCATAAAACAGTAGTTCTTCTCTTTCAACAAGTCATTTGCTTGCAAATCAATGAGCTCCAAACGTAGTTCGACTGGCACGTCATCAAGGTTACAATCAAATGGATTCTGGAACAGAAGAATGTCACTCTCAATTCTGTCGAGATCTGAAAATCTCTCCAAAAAATGCTTATTTAAGTCACTAATAATCTTCTTCGGAAACTCGAGGTTGACATCTTCTGCGATTCCAGTGCAAAACTCTTTGAAACACTGAAAATGAGAGAAGTTTCCTCCTTCCAGTTGTGCTTCAAACAATGATAGCTTTCTCCGAAATCCTTTGATGTTTCTGTAGGGATCACAGATAAGGTTATCCTTTCCCTGAAATTTCAAGTTCAATTTATTCATGTGGGATGTGATGTCAACCAAAAATGGCAACTTTGACAGCCAGGTAGGATCTGACAGAAGTGGATCAGCTCTAACCTTTTTGGTGAGAAAAATATCTATTTCTCTTCAGAGCTTATAAAAACGAAACAGGACTTTACCGCAGCTGAGCCACCTCATTGCTGTGTGATAAGGCAAGTCACAGAATTCAGAATCAATTTCTTCAAGAAAAGCCTGGAACTGGTGGGGATTAAGTGCATGACCCTAAATGAAGTTCACCGCAGGAACTACTGGTTTCAGTACGCAAGAAATATGTAAGTCTTTCCCACAGAGTGCTTGCTGATGTATAATGCAGTATATAAACAGAGTACCCGGGAGTTGAAGATCTTCCAACTTAGTTCGTATCTGCCCCACCAGACCCTTCCTCACTCCAGCCATGTTTTTTCCTCCATCAAATGTAACACATCGAAGCTGATTCCACTGAAGGTTATAGCCTTGCAAAGTTTTCTGCACTTCCATGAAAATGTCTTCTCCAGTTGTTGTTCCGTGCATGCTGCAAACAGATGCCAACAAATGAACACGAGAAGTTGTGATGTACTCGAGAGATCAGTAGACTCATCCAGCACCAGAGAATACCACAAGAAGTTCCTAGCTTTCTTGCGTATCTGTAACACTATGTTCTCTCCAAGT